TATAACAACCATACTCCAGCCACAGAGAAGTACCTTCAGATTCTCAAACTCCCCAAACGTCCAGGACTTTGAACATGCTATTGCCTTTGCCAAAAATTCTCTTTTCAACTCTGTATACCTAGCTAAGTCCTAGTACATTCTTCTAATGCTCTCTAAGCAGAGGATCTCAACATTGTCTAGACATCAGAATCATGGGCAGGACATCCTGCCATCAATCCAGTTTGGATCTCTATGCGGTGGAACCAAGGCATTAGCATTTTTAAAAGCTCCTCCTCCGGCACCTGAGTGGCTCAGTTGGTTAAGCGTCTGATTCTTGATTTAGGCTCAGGTCATGCTCTCAGGGACCTGGGATCGAGACCCGAGTTGGGCTCCACACTCCGCTAGAGATTCTCTCTCTCTCTCCCTCTCTTGCTGTCCCTCCCCCCTCAAATAAAATAAATAAATCTTAAAAAAAAAAGCTCCTCCAATATATAAGGAAGATGGGAAAACACTGCTCTAGGTGAGTTTCCTGGCCTCTTTGGAAGGCTTAAGCTTAATCATCTGTTTTCACTAGACCCGGTCTAGCCTTCTAACACTCATTAGATTTGCCTTAGCATATGTATTTCACCTCTGGAATATAAGCATTCCAAAGGCAGATGTCATATTCCACTACAGAGGCTTTTGTATATATCCAGTATGCACATTCTCATTCTCTTTCACACATATATACAGCTGAAATCAAAGTTTCACAAAAAGCCCTGACCCAGAGTGATGGAGTCTGTCATTTCTTATTCTATTCTGCTAATTTCATTCCTTGCTATTTAAAAATTGTGATGCTAAGTAAAATAAATCAGACAGACAAAGACAAATACTATATATGATCTCTTTTATATGTGGAATCTAAAAAACAAAACAAAACAAAATTAGCTCACAGATGCAGAGAACAGATTGGTGGTTGCAAGAGGCAGTGGGGGGGAGAAATGGATGAACTGGGGGTTTTTGGTTTAAAAAATTAAAGTAAAAAAATAAAAAATTGTGGATTGATACTCATTAGATTATACAACCTAATAGTTTGTCTGAACTGTGTTTGAAAAGCATCTCTGTAATCATGTTTGTGCCAGTCCTAACGCCGCGCTAGGCACTTAACAGGTGTTTACAACAGATTTCACGGATTAATCAAAGTTTTTAAGGAAGTAATATATATAAAAGTTTTACATATCCAAAACAGTAGGCAGTCATCACCAGGCAAAAGAAAAATATCAAGATTAACTTTCATATTCTTGAGACACCAAAGTAGAAAGATCAAAAAAATGTATAAAACTCAGTTCAAATTATAGCAACAGAAAGGAATACACGGAGGGTTTCCTTTTCTTAGAATTAGGGATCCTCAGATTACCTCTCTATTCTTAGATGTCCCAAGAAAGATGACAATCCAATTTATTCAGAATACTAATTGTGTTACTAAGATGGCATTCTTCCTTCTTCCTTTGGAATTAACCAGTGGGCCAAGATTTTTTTGTGAGAAACACTGAGGAAGCTACTTCCCCAATTCCCATAATGTATTAGAAATCTAAGCGTTCTTAATCAATTTACAGGTGCACGCTGATGTACAATTCAAAGTTTCTCAAACTAGTCTCTCTGGAAATGTTTTCTTTAATAGAAGAGAATTTTTATGATGGGGTGGGGGAGGAGCTATGGGTAAAACACATGAGCTTAGATAAGAAACTGAGTTTAGAGCTCTGGCCTGGGACAAGACCCAGATCACAGAGGAAGGAATGTCAAATAGCTGAGAAAAAGATCCTAATTACACCTTTATGACCATCTCTCCCCACCACATACCCCCCCCCCCACACACCTTCCTTACAAGCTGGTATTACAATGATCTCTTAGGGGTGCTTAGAGAATCAGTTAAGATTGGCAGAGTTCTTATGGAATATTAGCAAAGATACAGAGTCTTCCCATTTTCAGTTAGTTACCCATGGTTTTATGTTAGAACTTGGAATTGAGGAGATCTTTATTAATTCTCTGGGGCCCAAAGCAAAAATGTTTTGGACATAGGAAGTATCTGATTCAACTATGAAAATAGTTCTTCATTTTAAAGGTAAATCTGCAATGTAAACATTCTCAGACTGTCACCTCTCAGGGCTCTATATGATATTCTGTAAAAATATATTGGCTTTAAAATTCCAGTAAGACTGTCAGAAATAACACTATTTATATGAAAAATCTCCTCATCCCGAAGTATAAGGACAACTATAATGTCCTCGCTTTTAGTAAGAAAACTATATAAGCATTTTTTTTTCTAGTATGAGGAAGGAATTTTAATGGCTTTCAGAGTGAAATTACTCAGATTAATTCCATTCAGGAAGCATATGCTTCATAAAACATGTATTCTTATAGAACCCATGAATTGTGATTATTGCTGAGAGAATTAAATATCCTCTGAAGTGGATTGTAAATAACAGTGATACTCATTCTAGCAAGAGCTGGGGGGTCTCCATATATAGAAAAATTGATCGACAGTCATGGAGCAAAAACATATTTGTGAAGTTTTTCACCCCCCTCCATATCCATTCAGGAGCATTTGTACGAAGGAAAACATCAATGCTTTTGGGGGGACAGATGTACTGGAATCTGTTGGGAGAGCTGATGTTCTGGCTAGGCATTTGGAGTTTCCTTTTTTAATATGTAAGAATTATTTTTGCTCTACAGCATGAATCAAACAATGAACATAATGCTACCAGCTTCTTCAAACAAAGTGAAAAGGCCTATCATTACACTTTTTTCCTTCACACATATTATTGAAAATTCCTTTTGTTCAAAATAAAAAAAAATATCTTCAGAGGGGAAAAAAAGCAGAGACTTCCATTTAGCTGAAATACTGAAATTGCATGTAATCTCCTAAGATACATGGTTATATTTACTTTCAAGTTTGGCATTTCCATTTGTTGCTTTTAAGCCCCAGTACCTTAAATCAATTCTATCACTTGAAATGTGCCATTAACAACAATAATCAATAGTTTCAGTAGTTTCGACTTTTTTCCATGACATCTCTAAATCTTTCATCAAAAGACTGTTATCCGGTTATCTAACTGAAAATCAGAGCTGGCTATGAATGTCATTTCTATCCATAAAATGTAGTTTCAACCTCAGGCGACTGGAATTTATAGAAAACCCAATATTAACACGGAGGGAATGAGAAAACTGTCTCTGTTTTAAAATAGTGTTGGGATCTCAGCTAGTCCTATTGTAGTTAAGGGGGAAAATGATATGTCTAAGGTTTTCAGGAACTCTAGAGGAGTTTAACATGGCTTTTAATAATAAATACTTTTTATGCATAGTATAGCATAAGCTAAGTAAATGTCCTCTGCATAACTTTCAACTGTTTTTGAAAGGGAGATTAGAGATCTAAACACAAAATGTAGTTTATCCTCCATTCTCCCATTGGAAATACAGTTTAAAAACATGGCAATTTTTTTTTAATGATTCAGAATCTTGCAGTTTCTCGGAATTTTCATTGTATAGTTATGCAGATAACAACATACAGGAGATACATGGATGTATCTTGGCCCTCAGTCAGACTTGCTCACTAATTTAAGGGATGTTTAATTAAATCCTTATTATAAAATTATCTCTTGGATTATTCTTTCTTTTCAAAGTAATCTGCTAAAAAATCAACTTAAAGTTTTATTATTTATCTACCACAGCTGATGAGACTATGTGAGCCCATATATTTATCAAAATTCTAGGCGGCTTCATGGGTATTTAAAAGGAGAAATACAATTTTATTTATGAAATATCATAAGTTAAATAAGTTACAGCAGGACATTTGCTACCCATTCATCTAAGAGGGACCAAAAAAGTCTAACTTTGCATAGTTTTTACAATCTCGAGCCATGGGACATATCTACAAAGATAAAGGCAGGTATTGCTCTTAACGAGCTATTTCCAGTGATCAAACTAACTCAACACACATTGTAGAGGAGCGAATGAGGAATCCTAGAAGCTATGAGTTGCCGCCATTATCAACTCTATGCACAAGAGCAGGCAAGTAGATCAAGTATCCTATCAAAACAGAAAAAAAGGAGGAGAAGGGAAACAAGGAAAGGAGAAGGAGAAGATACATTGCTTATTATGGTCTGACTGTGGAAGTGTTTTCCAACCTAGGATACACCACCACTTTTTTTCATCATAATTTAAATATATGGAGAAAAGTAGTCCAAAAACTTGATCATATTATTTTGACACTCTAAAGTTATATTCGAGATACTAGTAAAGATCTGGTATCAAGTCAGAAAACTCAACTATACGTAACAAAACTCCGTAACAGTTCAGAAAATTATATCAGGCCCTGAGAATAAACTTAAGGGGCCTCCTTGAACCAAGACGTCATTTAAACAAAACTACCCTAAACTTCTATTTTCACTGTTTATGCATATGAAACTTTATAGCAATAATTTTTGTTTCTAGGAAGAAACAATTGTCTCAAAATTGTATGATCACTAACTATGACAAATTTAGCCATCTCATTTTTCTTTTTACAGATCGTGTTGGGAAGAAAGCTACAAAATGCCAGATTAACATTTCAAAATGTATTTGAAAGCAATGAAGGGCAACTGATTCAGTTAGCAATGCTAAATAAAACAGACAATTCATACAGATGCTTGCCCTGTAAAATATTAAATAAACACTGCAAAATGGCAACTTTTTCCATTTAATAAACCAATCCCTAATTTATTTCTCGGAGCAAAGTTTCTTCTTGGCCAAAGCTCTGGTTTTACAGGCAAGTTTTCCCTGGTCAAAAACACATACCATTTTTGAAGACTGGAGCGTTAAGTGAAACACTAAATGCCTTTTCCTTCTCCCTCTGCCTCTTCCCCCTCTTTGCCCACCCACTGCCCTGTATCAGGCCATATAAAACAAGCACTTTCCTTTGGCCCCAGCATATCAGTGATGAGGACGGAGGCTGTGAATTGTTCACAAGGATTCACAAGAGGTCAAAGTAGAAAAGCTTTACTTACTTGCCATTGTTTCATCAGCTCTCTTACTCCCTTGGAATCTTCTAGGAGCCTTTCCTTATGGGTGGCATCCTGCAGGACGTTGGCAGTTGTCTCGGCTTCCGTAAGCCAGGCAAGGAACTTCTCCAGGTCCAGGGGGAACTGTTGCAGTAATCTGTGCGTTTCTTCCAGGGCAGCCTCTCGCTCACTCACTCTGCAAAGGAACAAATGTCCAGATGCGGTTCTCCTCAGTTATCACAATGGTGCACCCAGCACCCCCCATGAAAACAGCAAAGATCAAGGGGCAAAATCGTAATGTACCAACAAAGGGGTGGGTGGTTGCTAAAAGTCCTCTTAAAAGCAACAACAACTAGAATAGTGCGTCTCTGTGTGTGTGTGTGTGTGTGTGTGTGTGTGTGTGTGTGTGTGTAGACTTTGGACAGTTCATATATGAACTTCCAAAAACAATCTTTTTTTTTAACTTGATAGTTTTTTACTGGTCGATTGTGAAAGCTTATTTTCATATGTGGCAAAAGCATAAGCTCCTCTTTATAGGTAAAGCTCCCAAATCCCTACTCCATATTTATCTTTGATGTCACCTGAGGCAGAAAGTCAGGATTAGGTAGGCAAGGAAAAAGGTCAAGAAAATGCAAAGCTAGATCAGAAAGTTGAACACTGGAGGAAACAAGAGAAGAGGCCTGGAGGGTAGAGGAGAACAGAAAGACTAACAAGGAGAAAAATGACATATTTCACAGAAACCATTGTGCAAGACATCATTTTGCATGACACTATTGTGTTCTAATGGTTCTAACTGTGGTGTTTGCTTTACATTTCATTATCTGATGGTCACGCAACTGAGAATATTCCCCCAAAGAGAAAACTTCTGTGTAATGGAAAAAGTAAAGCCTAAAAAAAACAGACAGATCTGGGTTCAAATCCCAATACCCTCTACCAACTGTGTGGTACGGCAAGTTACTTAACCTCTCTGAGTTCGAAGTTTCTCATCTGCAATGCCTACTGCTGGGCTGAGAATGAGAAGATGATAATGTGTGTCAAGATGACTGCCTCCCATGTACAGTTAGTTACACATTACGGTTACTCAAACACATTTGTTCGCTCGGCCCACATCCCATTCCTCTTTCTCTAATCTTCTTTTTTCTAAAAAAAAGATTTTATTTATTTATTTGAGAGAGTGAGAGAGAGTGCCTGAGTGTGCAGGGGGAGGGGCAGAGGGAGAAGCAGATTCCCCGCTGAGGAGGGAGCCCAACGCTGGACTCGAACCCAGGACATCGAGAACATGACCTGAGCAGAAGGCACGTGCTTAACCAACTGAGCCACCCAGGCACCCCCACCCTTCCTCTAATCTTTTAGAAGGGGTGAACCAAATTTCCTAATGGCACATAAATCTAAAAAAATTATTCATATTTTTTCTGATTTTATATATATATATATATATAAAATACACACACACATCTCTCTCTCTCTCTATATATATATAATGCATGTATAGTGGATACACACACATATGCCCTCAGCAAAAATCTACATAATAACAGCTTGGAGGGGAAATTGCCTTTGGCAGTAACAGTCCCATCTAAAAAGATTCAGGTAAATTTTGTCTGCAATGAGGAAATTAGTACTCTATTTAAATGCTATATTTGCCTTCTATTACTACACAAACACTTTCTGGGATTAAACATAAGCTAAAAATGGATTTTAAAAAATTGAACACTTGAATATGATACACACTGCTTGTTAGGATGTGATTGTCAATAATTATGCGAAACTGCAATTTATTTCAGCAGCAACTTTATCATGGGATGTGCAAACCAGGCAATAAACAGCTCCTGCCGAGCCAGCGGCAGCAAAGCCCCCGGAAGAGCTGTTTATTCATCACGGGTGAGGTTTTTGCTGAGCCTACAGTCTTCCACAGTGTAGTTTCAGGGCTCATACTGGATAAAAATCTTCTGTCTGCATTAACTGGTGGAGGGGAGAATAGGTTTAGGAGGATGCAGCTATCGGAAAAAAGGAAGCATTGCAGAAAGCTATTTATCAGCCCCTAAATAAACTTTAATGCTGCAGAGCTGAAAGGTACCTTGGTGCTCAGGCTGGGCAAATCACTTAAACCTTGCGTAGTTCAGGGGCTGACCTGGACTGCTTGCTCCCTGCATATCTGGTGTTCAAACTATCAATGGAGGGAGAAAGATCGAAATCGTTATTTATTTCTCTTTTTATTCAGCATGATTTAAAAGCTCAGAACCCCTGCAACAGCACTGAGAATCTTAACGTCATAATCTGGCAGGAAATGCCCAGGTGGAAGCATGTGTAACTTGCTCACATCTGGCTGGTGCTGACCTGCAAAAGCGGCAATTTCATCCAGTTCAAGCTAGTATTTCTAGGTTGGCTTGCCCATCAGAAATCACTAAGACTTACGCCACCTCCAGCCTAAAATTTGGGATAGAAATAAGCTGTCACATTCCAGAAGCCAAGTGCCAGGTTGGACGATGACATATTTTCTCACATGCTCCAACTTTATGGAGAATAAAAGGACAAAAATGAAACTCTCAGGGCAGAGTGAAGCTCAGAGAGTCAGACAGTGTGCATTATCATGAGCTGCATAGGATGCTCCCCTATTCTTGAACTAAAAATGCCGCTTACCCTCTGCTTCCAGAGAAAGTAACTAGTAAATAACTTTCCAAGAGTTCTCTGTAAAATACAATGCACATAAACTAGATGAAAGGGTTCTACCGAGCCAACGAGATTTCTGGCCAAATCCTACCAGTGAGTTTGCTGCTTTGTAAATTAGGCCCTTAGGGAAGAACAGTAACTCTTGCAGGACAGTAAGGTACCGTTTTCCTCAATGATACCCTCGTGCTCGGAAATATTGACAACATCAGTCTGAATCTTTGCTAATTTGGAAAATATGTTAACAAAATTCAATGGCTGCAAGAGCAGAAAGTCTCTTCAAATGAGTTCTTTTACAGGCCTCTTTGATCAGAGGTGAGATTGTTGTTTCCTGCTCGTGGGAGTTTTAAGACTACATCCTTTCTCCTGAGATCAGTCTATGTACACCGAATTCCTAAATTTTAATTGCACCAAGTCTAGACCAGAAATGAGTCAAGGGTACTTGTATGTCATATTCGTGTATTCAAAATAGCTCTGGATGTGTCTTATCCTTTTTAATTTCCCATAACCATATGGCTTTAAGTGGCTTATATGATAAATAAAAAACGTAGAAGTAATGAGAATCATAAAGAAATTTTAAAAATTGTTTTAGAACAAAAGTGAAGATCTTGAACATGATTATTCTGTAAATTCCCCTGTCCAGATTATCCAGTTATAGACCCTGGTGAAAATTTGGCTGAACTTTAAAACTAACAATGCCCAGGTATCAGAAATAGTAATAATACTTTACAAATGTAATTTATGATAGAGGTTAAGTGCTTTTTTATGTAACAAATTTTAATTATCGGCTATTCTAGGTTTATAATCTACAGCAATAGTTAAGAATCTGGTGAAGTATGGACTGCTATGGTGACTTTAAAAGGTTTTCTTTCTGTTCATAAGGGCACAATATACCATTCTCAAGTGCCTAAATATGAGCGGTATGGTACAGTGGTTCTCAAAGTATGACCCACAGACCAGGGGCATCAGCATTATCTGAGAACTTATTAGAAATGTAAATTCTCAAGCCCTACCCTAGACCTACTGATCAGAAGGTCTGTGCATGGAGCCCAGCAAGCTACGTTTTCAGAAGCCTTCTAGGTGATTCCAATACATGCTAAAGTTTTGCGAATTACAGCCGCTGGAGACCCATCTATTTTGCCCTAGGTTCTGAAAAAGCTGCTGGAGGCAGGACGCATCCAGTAACTAGTTAATGTGTGGGCTATAAAACCTGGCCCCCTTGCTCCAACTCAGGACAATTTGGGAGGATCGGGAGAGGGATGGGGAGTTGATTGATGCTGTGGTTGCAACTGCATTGAAGCCCGGGTTCTCCTTCTTCCCTATCCCGCTCCCTTCCCTTTCCTTCCCTCACAGGTGTTAATCCTGACAGCACTCAACAATAAAATTCCTGCAAGTTAATTGCCTTCTCAGAATCTGCCTTCTGGGGAAACTGACATGCTGAGGTGTCATGCTAAATAAGGATTTAAAAAATATACATGCTTAAGAAGTGTACGTGAGAAATATACAGCTACTTGCACAGACTGTGGTCTCAAAGGGGGACAGGATGGAGTATTCTCACACTCAGGAAATGAGCCTGAAGAGCTATTGCACTTTTGGTTGCCCTTTAAGAGGATCTATAGAGGGGCGCCTGGGTGGCTCAGTTGGTTAAGCGTCTGCCTTTGGCTCAGGTCATGATCCCAGGGTCCTGGGATCAAATCCCACATTGTCCTGTTCCCTGCTCAGTGGGAAGTCTGCTTCTCCCTCTCCTGCTGCTGCTCCCCCTGTTTGTGCTCTCTTGCTCATGCTCTCTCTCTCTCAAATAAATAAATAAAATCTTTAAAAAAAGTAAGAGGTGGAATATTACTCAGCCATCAGAAAGGATGAATACCCACCATTTGCATCGACTTGAATGGAACTGGAGGGGATTATGCTAAGTGAAATAAGTCCAGCAGAGGAAGACAATTATCGTATGGTTTCACTCATATGTGGAATATAAGGAATAGCAGAGAGGACATTAGGGGAAGGAAGAGAACACTGAAGGGGGGCAAATCAGAGGGGGAGACGAACCGTGAGAGACTCCCGGAAACAATCTGAGGGTTTCAGAGGGGAGGGGGGTGGGGAGATGGGGTAGCCCGGTGATGGGTATTAAGGAGGGCACATGCTGTAATGAGCACTGGGTGTTATATGCAACCAGTGAATCATGGAACACTACATCAAAAACTAAAAAAAAAAAAAAAAAAAAAAAGAGAGAGAGAGAGAGAAAGGAAAAAAAAAAATAAGAGGATCTATAGGTAGTGTAGAGTTGCATTACCACCAGTTAGAAGCAAGAATCTCCTGAAGGGGCAAAGTGCTGTAGCTGCACAGCTCAGGAGAAACCCTGCACCTGCCCAAGAAGGTATTCATACAGAGCCAGTTCTGCACAAAGGGGAAGAATCACAGAAGGCAGGTCTTCAGCATCTCCATTTTCTTTTTAAGAACTGATTATCAATGAGGCAATCAGACAAGTAATACTCTGATCTGTCACTAAACACCCACGCACATACCAGGGTA